CCCCAGCCACAGAGTGGGCAGCGCTCTAGTGCGTCATGCCGTCTGAAACACCCCCAGCACTGGCTTCCTCACCTGCTCAGAGGGCACTGCCAGCTCTCCAGCGGGCACCCAGCACGCCAGGCCCAACCCTCCTCCGGCCAGCGGGGGAGTCCATGTTCAAACCCAGCGGTCACCCTCTCAAAATCCCAGCATGCAGGTCACCTGTCAGGCTCTGAACGGCCTCCTCCCCATCACTAGCTGAGACTCCATTCAGCCAGACGAGAACTGGCTAAGTACCTACTAGAACCCTTTCTGCTGCTTATCGCCCTGCCGGGACACATTTGCAGCTCGTGGGTAATTAGGTTAATTACCCAGAATAATGCACCAGCTCCGGAGCTGGGCCTCAACCGAGGGGGTCCGAGCTGGTGACTGGGCAAGGAGGAACTGCAGCCTTGTGGCGCAGCCTGGGACGGCGCACTGAAGAGGACGATCAAGTCGGAGGGCTGCGCTTTCCGGCTGCAGAGCTGAGCAGGAGGGGGAAGTCAAGAGCGCCAGGGGCAGACGCTAACAGCCTGAAGTGCAGTTGCCTTAAGCCACCGTCCGAAAGGCTGACGTCAGCCCCTGAAGCTCTGACTCTCTCCCAGGCAGCTCCTGCGAATGAGGGTGCTCACGCCAGCCACAAGTTCCGGGAGCAGGCCAGGCCCCCTCAGGGATCCGACACACGGAGCCTGACAAGCAAGCGCCCCCCTTAGCCGCAGCAGGTGCTGGGTTCCACATCCCCCACCTCTCGCCTCGCACAGAGATGCAGCCAGCCGCAGCCTCTCCCCACGCTAACTCCAGGGCTGCTCAGCAGGGGGCGTTGCAGGGCTTCTTACCTGCTCCCCTGCTAGGAGGGTCCCGGGCCGGTGGAGGGGGCCGATTGCTCTGGAGCGACGGGGAGGCTGAAGAGGGTGGAGGAGGGGCCAGGCCCCTCACAGGGCCTGGGGTCTTCCTATGCAAAGAGTTGTGTCTCTGAGGCAGCTCCGGCGCCAGCTCGTTGGGGGGGCTGCAAGGGCCATTGTGGACGCCCGGGG